CCAAACCCCGACCCGCACCCCCATTTTTCGTTCCCCCCGCTCTCCGCGCTCACCCCGGCGGCTCCAGCAGCACCCCGCGTCCCTCGGCGGCCTGGCTGAGGTTGCAGAGCAGCGCCCCGAGCTCGGCCCGCGGCCGCTCCGCGCTCAGCGCCCGCAGCAGCGCCGCCTCCGCGCCCGGGCCCAGCGCCCGCAGCAGCCGCGGAGCCGCCTCCGCGCCGCGGCTCAGGTTGGCCAGCACCCCGCAGGCCGCTCCGGAGCTGGCCACGAGCGGGAGAAGGGAAGGCACGGCGGCGAGGAGCGGCTCCAGCGCGGCGGGCTCGGAGGAGGCGTTCACCAGCGCGGACAAAGCGGGCCGCGCTCCACGCGAGGCCGAGGCGGCCAAGGCGGACAAGGCCGATAAGGCCGCGGGGTGTGCGGCGAGCAGCGCCCGGCCCGAGGCGCTGCCCGACAGGGCCAGGGCGGCCTCGGCTGCTTCGGGAGCGGCGGGGCAGGACGGCGAGAGCAGCGCCGTGAGCTCCGACAGAGCCGCGGCCGCCGCGGCATCTTCGTTGGTGGAGTCCTCCATCGCCGCGGCCTTCTTCGTGTCCGCGGCCATGGCAGCGTTGCTTGGCAACGGCGATGTGGGACGGTGTAACAGCCAATCAGCGCCGCGGATACATGGAGGTGGAGGCGATGAGCCAATGGGGGGCGGGTATGCTGCCGGAAGGGGAGGGAGAAAGGTGTGGTGGGAAGGGAGGGTTGTACGGAACAGCGCCGTACGGGCCAATTAGGCCACGGAACCAATTAGGCCACGGAACCAATTAGGCCACAAAGCACAGAGCGGGCCGGTGCCGCCGGGGCCGTGTCCGCTCGCGGAGCCTCGGCCGCCACCGGCACCGGCTTCAACTCCGGCTCTGCCGTCTCCTCCTGTGCCGCCATGGTGGGGCGCAACATGGCGGCATCGCCTGGCAACCACCGTGATGGACAGGCCGAGCAGCCAATCAGCGCCGCGAGTCACGGGGCGGTGAAGAGCTAAACCAATGGGATGCGCTGTAGAGCCGGAAAGGGAGGGGCTTGGGCAGGCAGGGATTGAGACCGAACCCTTGGGGACACCAAACCATCAATGCCACCAAACCATCAATGCCACCAATGCCTTGGGGACACCAAACCCTGGGGACACCAAACCCTGGGTGGCACCAAACCCTGGTGGCACCAAACCCTCAATGGGTGACACCAAACCCTGGGTGACACCAAATCCTCAATGGGTTTCTCAATGGATAAATGGAATTTTCCCATGGATAAATGGGATTTTTCCCATGGATAAATGAGATTTCCCATTGGAAAAATGGAATTTTCCCATGGATAAATGAGATTTCTCAATGGATAAAGGGATTTTCTCAATGGATAATGGAATTTTCCCATGAATAAATGGATTTTCCCAATGGATAAAAGGATTTTCTCACGAATAAATTGAATTTTCCCATGGAGAAAGGGATTTTTGCCATTGGATAAATGAGATTTCTCAATGGATAAATGGAATTTTCCCATGGATAAAGGGATTTTTCCCATGGATAAATGGAATTTTCCAATGGATAAAGGGATTTTTCCCAATGGATAAATGGAATTTTCCCATGGATAAATGGATTTCCCATGGATAAATGGAATTTTCCCATTGGATAAATGAGATTTTCCCATTGGATAAATGAGATTTCCCCATGGGTAAAGGGATTTTCCCATTGGATAAAGGGAATTTTCCCATTGGATAAATGGAATTTTCCCATGCATAAATGGAATTTTCCCATGGATAAATAAGATTTCTCAATGGATAAATGGAATTTTCCCATGGATAAATGGATTTTCCCAATGGATAAAAGGATCTTCTCATGAATAAATGGAATTTTCCCATGGAGAAAGGGATTTTCCCGTTGGATAAATGAGATTTCTCAATGGGTGACACCAAACCCTGGGGACACCAAACCCTCAATGACACCAAACCCTCAATGGGTGACACCAAACCCTCAGTGGGTGACAGCAAACCCTGGGGACACCAAACCCTCAATGGGTTTCTCAATGGATAAATGGAATTTTCCAATGGACAAAGGGATTTTCCCATTGCATAAATGAGATTTTCCCATGGATAAAGGGATTTTCCCATGGTAAATGGAATTTTCCAATGGATAAATGAGATTTCCCATTGGATAAATGGAATTTTCCCATGGAGAAATGAGATTTTCCATTGGATAAATGGAATTATCCAATGGATAAAGGGATTTTCCCATTGGATAAATGAGATTTCTCAATGGATAAATGGAATTTTCCCATGGAGAAAGAGATTTTCCCATTGCATAAATGAGATTTCTCAATGGATAAAGGGATTTTCCCAATGGACAAATGGAATTTTCCCATGGTAAATGGAATTTTCCCATGGAGAAAGGGACGTTTCCCACGGAGAAATGAGATTTTCCCATGGATAAATGAGATTTTCCCATGGATAAAGGGATTTTTCTCACAGGGAGGTGCAGGTGGGATCCCTGATCCAGATCCCAGGGAGGTGCAGGTGGGATCCCTGATCCAGATCCCAGGGAGGTGCAGGTGGGATCCCTGATCCAGATCCCAAAGGAGGTGCAGGTGGGATCCCTGATCCAGATCCCAAAGGAGGTGCAGGTGGGATCCCTGATCCAGATCCCAAAGGAGGTGCAGGTGGGACCCCCTGATCCAGACCCCAAAGATCCAGACCCCAAAGGAGGCGCAGCTGGGCCCCGCCAGCCTCAGGCCGCGGGCTCACCTGGCCCAGGTGAGATCCCAGCAGGAAAAGCGGAGCGGGAGCAGACAGAGAGCAAAGCCAAACTCTTGAAACACACGGACTCTGGATGGGGGGCAGGGGGGCAGTTCCTGGGGGTGGCATTTGGGACTCTGGCCCGGGCAGGGCCGGGATGGACGGATGGAGCCCGCCAGGAGCCCGGGCAGGCGGGACGGGGGTCAGTGCAGCCGAGGGCAGGAGCCATAAAGTGCAGCGAAGCTTCCGGAGCTCCCGGCGCGGCTCCGGCAGCGGCTCCGGAGCTCCGGGATTCCTGGGGGGCTCCAGTGTCCGGGGTGGGGGACGTGGGGACACCGGGACACCGGGGGGGACGCGGCTCAGGAAGGACCAGCGGCGCCGGGACAGGGCCGGGTCCTTTCCCGGTTCTGTTCCTGGCTCCACTCCCGGTTCCTTTGCTGGTTTGGTTGCCAGTCCTGGTTCCGTTCCTGGTTCCTTTCCTGGTGCCAGTTCTAGTGCTGGTTCCGTTCCCAGTCCTGGTTCGACTCCTGCTTCCTTTCCCAGTGCTGGTTCCGTTCCCAGTCCTGGTTCGACTCCTGCTTCCTTTCCCAGTGCTGGTTCTGTTCCCAGTGCTGGTTCCATTCCCAGTGCTGGTTCCTTTCCCACTCCTGGTTCCGTTCCCAGTTCTGGTTCTATTCCTCCTGGTTCCTTTCCTGGTGCCAGTTCTAGTGCTGGTTCCGTTCCCAGTCCTGGTTCGACTCCTGCTTCCTTTCCCAGTGCTGGTTCTGTTCCCAGTGCTGGTTCCATTCCCAGTGCTGGTTCCTTTCCCACTCCTGGTTCCGTTCCCAGTTCTGGTTCTTCCTGGTTCCTTTCCTGGTGCCAGTTCTAGTGCTGGTTCCGTTCCCAGTCCTGGTTCGACTCCTGCTTCCTTTCCCAGTGCTGGTTCCGTTCCCAGTGCTGGTTCCGTTCCCAGTTCTGGTTTTATTCCTGCTTCCATTCCCAGTTCCTTTCCTGGTACTGGTTCCGTTCCCAGTGCTGGTTACGGTCCTGGTTCTGTTCCCAGTTCTGGTTCTGTTACCAGTTCTGGTTCCATTCTCAGTCCTGGTTCCATTCCCAGACCTGGTTCCGTTTGGAGTCCCGGTTCCGGTCCTGGTTCCGTTCCCATTCCTGGTTCCGGTCCTGGTTCTGTTCTCAGTGCTGGTTCCATTCCCAGTTCCATTCCTGGTTCCTTTCCCATTCCCGGTTCCGTTCCCAGTCCCAGTTCCGTTCCCGGTTCCATTCCCAGTCCCGGTTCCGTTCCCAATCCCGGTTCCGTTCCCAGTCCCGGTTCCGTTCCCATTCCCAGTTCCGTTCCCATTCCCGGTTCCGTTCCCGGTCCCAGTTCCGTTCCCGGTCCCGGTTCCATTCCCAGTGCTGGTTTGGTTCCCAGTCCATTTCCAGTCCCATTGCTGGTTCCGTTCCCGGTGTCTCGGATCCCGCCGGGAATCTCACATGCACATCACCTGCGGCCTGCAACGAGGACAGGGAGGGTCACCTGCCTCACCTGTGGCCACGCCCCCCTGCCCCGCCCTGCCCCGCCCCGCCCACCTGTCCTCCTCGATGCTGCTGCCCTCGGGGTCGCCGCTGTCGCCCTTCTCGGTGTCCCCCTCGCCCAGGTCCATGTCCAGCTCGTTCCCGGTGTCCGGGCGGGTGTAGGCGTAGCCACTGTGGGAAGGGCCAGAATTCCAGGGAATCCCCTTGGGAATGGCCCCTGGAATTCCAGGAATCCCCCTGGGAAAGGTCCCTGGAATTCTGCGGAGTCATCTCAGGAAAGGTCCCTAGAATTCCAGGGAATCCCCTTGGGAATGGCCCCTGGAATTCCAGGAATCCCTCTGGGAAAGGTCCCTGGAATTCCAGGGAATGCCCTTTGGAATGGCCCCTGGAATTCCGGGGAATCCCCTTGGGAATGGGCCCTGGAATTCTGGGGAGTCATCTCAGGAAAGGTCCCTGGAATTCCAGGGAATGCCCTTTGGAATGGCCCCTGGAATTCCGGGGAATCCCCTTGGGAAGTCGTCTCAGGAATGGCCCCTGGAATTCTGGAAATCCCCTTGGGAATGGCCCCTGGAATTCTGGAAATCCCCTTGGGAATGGCTCCTGGAATTCTGGGGAATCATCTCAGGAAAGGTCCCTGGAATTCCGGGAATCCCCCTGGGAAAGGTCCCTGGAATTCCGGGAATCCCCTTGGGAATGGCCCCTGGAATTCTGGGGAATCCCCTCGGGAATGGCCCCTGGAATTCAGGAATCCCCATGGAAATGCCCCTGGAATTCAGAGAATCCTCTCAGAAAAATCCCCTGGAATTCAGGGAATCCCCTCTGGAATTTCAGGAATCCCCCTGGGGAATGCCCCTGGAATTCTGGGAATCCCCTGGGGAACGCCCACGGAATTCCGGGGAACCTCCTGGGGAACGGCCCCTGGAATTCCGGGAACGGCCCCTCGAATTCTGGGGAATCCCCTCGGGAATGCCCCTGGAATTCCGGGAATGCCCTGGGGAATGGCCCCTGGAATTCTGGGGAATCCCCTCGGGAATGGCCCCTGGAATTCAGGAATCCCCATGGAAATGCCCCTGGAATTCAGAGAATCCTCTCAGAAAAATCCCCTGGAATTCAGGGAATCCCCTCTGGAATTTCAGGAATCCCCCTGGGGAATGCCCCTGGAATTCTGGGAATCCCCTGGGGAACGCCCACGGAATTCCGGGGAACCTCCTGGGGAACGGCCCCTGGAATTCCGGGAACGGCCCCTCGAATTCTGGGGAATCCCCTCGGGAACGGCCCCAGAATTCCGGGAATGCCCTGGGGAATGGCCCCTGGAATTCTGGGGAATCCCCTCGGGAACGGCCCCAGAATTCCGGGAATGCCCTGGGGAATGCCCCTGGAATTTTGGGAATGCCCTGGGGAACGACCCCTGGAATTCCGGGAGTCCCCTGGGGAACGCCCCCGGAATTCCAGGAGTGGGCTGACCTGATGGAGCGGCAGGTGAAGAAGACGATCCTCTTGAGCCTCTTGTTGTAGAAGAAGTAATTGAAGGACCAGAGGCTGCCGTCCTCCCCGAAGGGATCCGAGTCCAGGTCCGGGTTGTAGCTGGGAACGGGACAGGCGGGGAAGTCACGGGAATGGGAAAAGGGGAAGTCACGGGAATGGGGACAGGGAAAGGGGGAAAGTCACGGGAATGGGGACAGGGGGAAAGTCATGGGATTGGGGACAGGGAAAGTGGGAAAGGCCTGGACGGGATTGGGGACTGGGAAAACTGGGGAAGTCACGGGAATGGGGACAGGGAAAGTGGGAAAGACCTGGATGGAAGGGAACAGGACTGGGATCCCTCAGGCAGGGCTGGGATCCCCGGGATTGGGCAGGGCTGGGATCCCTCAGGAAGGGCCAGATCCCTGGGGATCAGGAAGGGCCGGGATCCCTCAGGGATCAGGCAGGGCCAGGATCCCCGGGATCAGGCAGGGCCGGGATCCCTCAGGAAGGGCCGGGATCCCTCAGGGATCAGGCAGGGCCGGGATCCCTCAGGGATCAGGCAGGGCTGGGATCCCTCAGGCAGGGCCGGGATCCTTCAGGCAGGGCTGGGATCCCTCAGGGATCAGGCAGGGCCAGGATCCCCGGGATCAGGCAGGGCCGGGATCCCTCAGGAAAGGCCGGGATCCCTCAGGGATCAGGCAGGGCTGGGATCCCTCAGGCAGGGCCGGGATCCTTCAGGAAGGGCTGGGATCCCTCAGGAAGGGCTGGGATCCCTCAGGCAGGGCTGGGAT